CCTATTTCTTGTCATGACAAGTAAGTGGCTGTCCTCTGCTGGCCCTATTCTTTCCCCCATGGTTGGGAAAGGGGGTTGGTAATTCAGAAATGAGGCATAGAGTAAGTCCAGTGTGAGGGAATCAGAGATGGCAGGAGGTTCAGCTATCACTTAGTCCAGCTCCCTCTTTTTACAGATGACGAGACAGAGGTTTAGAGAATTTTTGTCTAAGGTTGTACAGCTTGCTAGTGGAAGAGCCAGAGAAAAGACTCAGCTATTCTAACTCCCTGACTGGTATTCTTCTTTATCTCATCCTCTTCAATGAGACTCACTCAGCTATCTTCTGAGAAAGTAATTATATAATCCTGGCTTTGCAAATTTCTAAATATGTGGCTTTAACTAAGTATTTATTCACTCCCTACCTGGTTTTCCCAACTGTGAAATGGGGATGATCATGCTTGATGTGACCATTTGTTAATAAGCTAACACATTAATGCATTAATGTGTATAAAGCACATGAATGATGTCTAGCACGTATCAAGTGCTCAACAGTGCTGTTATTTGAATATATAGACTAAAACATATGTACTGAATTCTGCTGTAATTAACAGACACAGAATTCCCCTTTCCCCTAGATTCTTCCATGCATATATGTCCGTGTATATAAGCATATTTGGGGTATGAACCAGCAGCAGAAAATTGTAAACATTTTGTATGTAGATCTTGTATCCTGAAACTTTGCTGAACTTGTTTATTAGTTCTACTAGTTTTTTCTTATAGATTCCTGAGTATTTTCCATATATAAGATCATGCCATCTGTGAATAGAGATATTTTTACTTCTTCCTTCCTAATTTGGATGCCTTTTACTTCCTTTTCTTGCCTTATTGCACTGCCTAGAACTTTTAGTACTGTATTGAAAAAGAGTGGTGAGAGTGGCCATTCCAACTTGTTTCTGTTCTTGATCTTAAGGGGAAAAGCATTCAGACTTTCACCAGTGCAATGTTACCTGTAGATTTTTTGTAGATGGCCTTTATCAAGTTAGAGGAGTTTGACAGTTTATTCTAGTATGTTGAGTGCCTTTATTATGAAAGTGTATAGAATTTTTTGGTGCCTATTGAGATGATCAGGTGGTTTTTGCCTTTTATTCTTTTAATTTGGTGTGTTACATTGATTGCTTTTTATGTATTGAAACAACCTTGCATTCTTAGAGAAAACTCACATGGTCTGGTATATAATTGTTTTTATATCTTGCTGGATTCAGTATTCTAGTAATTTGTTGAGGATTTTTGCATCTATATTCCTTAGAGATATTAGCCTAATTTTCTTATAATATCTTTGTTCAGTTTTGGTATCAGGGCAATGCTGGTCTCATAGAATGAGGTAGGAAGTTCTCTACTGTTTTTTGGAAGAGTTTGTGGATTGTTGTTCATTCTTTAAATGTTTGGTAGAATTTAACTGTGAAGCCATCTGGAAATGGAACTTTCTTTGTGGGAGGTTTTTGATCACCATCTCAAACTCTTTACTTGTTAAACTCTATTCACAGATGTTTAATTTGTTGTTGAGTCAGATTTAGTATTTTGTGTCTTCCTAGAAATTTGTCCATCCCTCTAACTTATCTAATTTGTTATAAATTATAAAAGTCATGTAATTGTTCATTGTATTCCTTTATAATGCTTTTTATTTCTGTAAGTTTGGTAGTTATATCCCATCTTCTGTTTCTGATTCTAGTCATTTGAGTCATCTTTCTTTTTTTCCTTTGTTTGATCTTTTGAAAGAACTACCTCTTGATTTTATTGATTGCTCTATTATTTTCTGCTATTTCATTTATTTCCACTCTAATGTTTATTTCTGTCTATCTACTCACTTTGGACTTAGTTTGCTCTTCTTTTTCTAGTTTCTTAAGGTGAAAAGTTATTGATTTGAAGGCAAATATATGAGACAGTGAAAGAATCAGTAGTTTCCAGGGGCTAGGGGGGAGGAAGGGATGAGTAGGTGGAGCACAGAGGATTTTATTTTTAGGTAGTGAAATTATTCTAAATGATACTCTTTAAAAATTTGATGTATGGTTGATAAACAATATTATATTAGTCTTAGGTATACAGAATAATGTTTCAACAATTATATACACTATGAAATGCTCAACATGGTAAGTGGAGGTACCATCTGTTACCATACAAAGTTATTATAATACTGTTAACTATTATTCCCTATGCTGTACTTTTCATCTCCATGATTTATTTATTTTATAATTAGGAGTTTGTACCTCTCTATTCCCTTCCCTATTTCACCTATCCTCCCACCCTCCCCCAATGGCAACCAGTAGTTTTTTCTTTGTATTTATGAATCTATATCTGTTTTTTTTTGTTTATTTTTTTAGATTCCACATATGAAATCATATGGTATTTTTCTTTGTCTGAATTTACTTCATTTAATATAATACCCTCTATGCCTATCCATGTTATTGCTAATGGCAAGATTTCATTCTTTTTAAATAACTGAGTAATATTTACTGTAAATATATACCACATCTTCTTTATCCATTCATCTATGATGGCTAATTAGATTGCTTCTATATTTTGGCTATAGTAAATAATGCCCCAATAAACATAATGGTGCATATATCTTCTCAAATTACTGATTTCTTTTTCTTAGGGTAAAGTCACAGAAGTGGAAATACTGGGTCATAAGGTATTTATTTACATTTTTAATTTTTTGAAGAAACTTCATACTGGTTTCCATAGTGATTGTGCCAATTTATATTCCTACGAACAGTACATGAAGGTTCCCTTTTCTCTACATCCTTGCCAATGGTTATTATTTCTTGTCTTGTTGGTATCAGCCATTCTGACTATCTAAGGTGATAGTGCTTAGATATCACCTAAGTGCTATCTAACTGGTTTTGATTTGCATTTCCCTGATGAATAGTGATGTTGAGCATCTTTTCTTGTGTCTGTTAGCTATCTGTATATCTTCTTTGCAAACATCTATTCAGGTCCTCTGCCAATTTTTAAATCAGATTGGTGCTAAGTTATTAGAGTTATTTACATATTTTCCCATTAACCCCTTATGTGCTATATAATTTGCAAATGTATTCTGTTGATAGGTTGCATTTTCATTTTGTTGATGGTTTCTTTTGCCATACAGAAGCTTTTTAGTTTGATATAGTCCTACACACTTATTTTTTCTTTTGTTTCCTTGCCTGGGGAGACACATCAAGAAAAAAATGCTAATGCCAGTATTCAAGAGTTTACTGCCTATATTTTCTTTTAGGAGTTTTATGGCTTCAGGTCTTATATTTTATTCTTTGTAATACTACAATGGTGGATATGTGTTATTATACATTTTGTCAAAATCCAGATATTGTACAACAACAAGAGTGAACCTTAATGTAAACTACAGACTTTAGGTGATAATGATGAGTCAATGTCGGCTCATCAGTTGTAACAAATATACCACTCTGGTATACGGGTTGTTGATAGTGGAGGAAGCAGTGTGTATGTGGAAGCAGGGGTATATGCAAAATCTCTGTATCTCCTGCTCACTTTTGCTATGAACCTAAAACTGCTCTAGAAATTAAAGACATTAAAAAAATCAAAACTGAAAAAAAAAACAATAAGCAAAAAAGCCTCACAGCTGAAAGGCCAATGTCTCTCTCCTAGGTCTGTAATCTTGCCCTGCAAGATCCCTTTGCAATGACCCAGAGGGTGATGGATAAGAGTGACCAGTAAACCTGTTGCTGCTACTGTCTCTGTAAGTTTTCCCCACTAAATGCTCATCCTGTCATTATTCTTATTTTATAATGTATGCTACCAGATTATTCACATTATAATTTCTTTCATGACTGATTAATTACTTAGAAATATGTTTTCAAATTTCTAAATGGAGAGGTTGGAATTTCTTCTAATTAAATTACCTTATGATTGAAGAATGTATGTTATTGATTCACTTGGATTTGTTAACACTTATGGACTAGATGTAGTCATTTTGAAAAGAATTTGTATTTTCTGTTAGATGCAGAAGTCTACATATTTCCATTAGACCACACCTATTAACTGTGTATTTAAAAATGCTGTTTTATCCATTTATCCATTGACTGAGTGTACATTCAAATCTTCCATTATAATTTTGCATTTGTTGAGCTTCCTCAGGAATTTCATTAATTTTTCTTCATCTGTTTTTAGAATATGTTCTTAAATGTATAGAAATTCAGAATTATATCTTTCAGGCCAATTGTTCATTTTGTTCTTAGATATCTGATATACTTTTATACTTCCAACAAAGTGTTTTGCCTTAAAGTTTAATTTGACAAATATGGATATAACTATGCCATCTTCTTTGTTTAAAAAAAAGCCAGTAACTTGAGATCTTATTTTCTTAAATATAAGCTTTTGCAGCCGTAAATTTCCTTCTAAGCACTATTTAGCTCCATCCCATAAGTTTTGGTATGTTGTGTTTTTATTTTCATTCACCTCTCAGTATTTCCTAATTTTTCTTGTGATTCTTTCTTTACCCGTTGGTTATTTGTGAGTGTGCTTTTTAATATCCAAATATTTATGAGTTTCATGAATTCCTGAATTTCCTTCTATTGATTTCTATTTTCATTGCTTTTTATTTAGAGAACATTTTTCATATGATTTCAATCTTTTAAAATTTATTTATGCTTCACATGCCTTTTATTCAAAACATATCCTATGTTATTATTTTTTTTGAAGTTTTGATGTTTTCTCTACAAAGGTCTTACTTAATCATTAGTTAATTCCTAGATACTCATATTTTTCTTTGAGAGGTGCTTATTTTCTGTGTTTATTATTGGTGTTGAGAAATGCTATTAACTTTGTAGTTTGGTCATATAGGAAAGTTCGCTGAACTGTCATTCTAGAAGTTTGACCATTGGTTTTGCTGGCTTTCCTAGATGATCATCTTGTCTTAAAAAATCTGTTTTATGTCTTCGTATACCAGCTCTTACATTTCTTACTATGTGTGAACTTATACTATAAGAAAACTAATGGTGATGGTGATTTCTCCCTAAATTTTGACTGAAAATATTCTTTAGAAAACCCCATACATAAGCTTTGGAAATAAAATGTGAGTTTGTAACCTATTACTATTAAAAGTGGATGACCCCTAAAGGCTGCTGGTCCTCTTTTTAAAAGACAAAGGTAATTTTGGGAAAAGGGGATTTTGGAAGTTTACTGGACATTGAAGGGACTAGGAAGGCCTCTCCTCAGGGAGAGTTATGGGACCAACTGTGTAGTACTGAGCTATACTTTGAAAACTTTAGCTTTTACAACACTTCCATGGAAATAAGTGACATTCAGGTTAGGAAGCAAACAAAGGAAAGAGGAACGTGCAAGAGGCATGAAGGTTTTTTTCTATATGATCTTGTATTTATGAATACTTGGATCAGAGAAATACAAAGTCTACTGTACTGGAGGGGTTCTGGAATTCCAGGATGTCTCTTAGATGGTAGGATGAAATGCTCCAGCTTGTCCTACTGGACCAGACTTGCCCAGGAGATAGACCTACAGCTGGACTAGGAAAGATGTTAGGAGAGGAGCTCTGTTCTTCTGGCTGGGACCTTGTGGGTGAAAAATATTGATATAGACAGTGGAAAGAAGACCTGGATATCTCATCCTCATCATGAAGACAGTACAGTTGTATGATTTGACATACAATTGTATGTCATAGGCATCAGAGAACAAAGCAGGAGCTGAGGCCATTAGCTTGTCCAACTGAGGATCTTGCATTTGGACATCACTTGTGGGACCCTCAGAGATGATAGCATCCCATGCCAAATTGGAAGGGCCTGAGGACTGAGATGGAATGGAGCTATAGAAATCTGAAACAATAGGAATAAGAGGAGGATTGGCTTATGCTGTGCACAAGGAGGGCATGTTCTTGGCCAGAAGGATCTGGTCTCATTGCTTCAGTGACTGTTTCTGCTGCTTCCTCCTCTTGAATCACTGGTCCTGGAACCAAACATGGGAATTGGCAAGAGGGGAGGTTACGGTCTGTTAATGGAGGTTTCTCCTGCATGAAAAAAGCCGAATCATAACCCTCATTTCCTCTCCAGGTCACCATGATGTTGAGTTCTGAGAAAGCAGAGGTGGGTCAACAGGAGGGACAGTGAGGGATCAGGACCTGGACCCCAGAAAAGGAAGAAGGACAGAAAGGGGTTATGTCTCAGAGTTTGTGCTGGTGGTTCAGAGAAAGGGTCATGATCTCTAAAGAGAAGCTAGTCAGGGATCTAGGGAGGGGTGAGGAATTTGAACAGAAGAATTTTCAAGGAATATTTTAGGGGTCCTTTACAATGAAGAAGATTCTAAAAAAATTTTCGGGGCCTTAGCTGACTCAGAAGTTGGGGTGTTGTTTGTTGGTAGCATTATGAATAAACAGATTACAGGGTCTTGCTTGAGAAGACTAACTGAGGAACTATCTGGATGAGAGTCCTTCCTCTCTTTGAGCTCCGTAGTATAAGACCTCTGGAGTTCTAGTTCCAGTTATACTACTTACTATCTCTGACCCAGCCACTTTACCCCTGAACAGTTTTCTTCATCTTCAAACAGAATGATAATGAGGCTAACATATGCAATATGCCAATTAGTGCTAGCACACAGTAGGTACTCAAAAATGAAATATTATTATTGTGTTACAGAGAGAATTTCAAGGCTAAATAGTAGGATGTGCTTTGGATGGAGGGTACCAAGCACACCTCAAGGGATCAGACAGAACTTTATGATGACTCAGGTAGGTTGAGTTTCAAAGAAAGTTCCTTCTGGAGATTTTTATCTGGAAACATGGTATGGCTAAACAGAGCCTCCAACTCTTCATGCTGTGTGTGGGTAAATGAGGTGCATTCTTGGTGCTTCCTCCATATCACTGAAGAGCAGAGAAGGAGAAGTGCTGGTTACACTAACACTACGCCCTCCCTTCCAAAACCCTCCTTAAACCAGAGCAGTGAATCTCCCATGACTTCTCTTCAATCACCTTGGAATCCATCATGAGCAGATCTGTGCTCTCAGATATGTAAAAGCTCATCTTCAGGCAGAAAGAAAATATCATATATCTGATAAAGGATTTGCATCTGGAATATATAACAAACTCTTAGATCTCAAAAATAAGATGAACATTCTAATTAAAACCTTTTAATCCTAATTAAAAGATTTGAATAAGAAGCTTGCCAAAGAAGGTATATAAATGGTATATATATTCCAATTGCTGATGGGACTGTAAAACAATATTGCAACTCTGGAAAACAGTGTAGCAGTTTTTTAAATTAACATATCATTGATATAGAATCTTTTTTATTAACATATCATTGATATAGAATCAATGATATAGAATCATTGATATAGAATACAGATGAGCAACATTTAGGTAACTATGTTCACCCATATTATCAAGTCCCTCCCACACCCCACTGCAGTCACTCTCCACTAGTGTAATAAGATGCCACAGAGCCACTCCTTATAGTCTCCATGATACACTGCCTTCCCCATGACCCACCCACATATGTGTGCTAATCATAATGCCTCTCAATCCCCTTCTACATCCCTCTCCACCTACCTACCCCCACCCTTCCCCTTTGGTAACTTCTAGTCCCTTCTTAGTGTCTGTGAGTCTGCTACTATTTTGTTCTTTTAGTTCTGCTTTGCTGTTATACCCCATAAATGACTGAAATCATTTGGTACTTGTCTTTCTCTGCCTGGCTTATTTCACTAAGCATAATGCCCTCTAGCTCCATCCATGTTGTTGCAAATGGTAGGATTTGTTTTCTTTTAATAGCAGAATGATATTCCATTATGTATATATACCATACCTTCTTTATCCAATCATCTACTGATGGACACTTAGGTTACTTCCATACTTTGGCTATTGTAAATAATGCTGCAATAAACATAGGGGTGCATATATCTTTTTGAATCTGGGATCTTGTTTTCTTTCGGTAAATTCCTAGGAGTGGGATTCCCAGGTCAAATGGTATTTACTTTTAGTTGTTTGAGAAACCTCCATATTGCTCTCCACAATGGTTAAACTAGCTTGCGTTCCCCTTTCTCCACATCCTTGCCAGCATTTGTTATTTCTAGTCTTTTTGATGCTGGCCATCCTAACTGATGTGAGGTGATATCTCATTGTGGTTTTAATTTGCATTTCCCTGATAATTAGTGATGTGGAGCATCTTTTCATGTCTCTCTTGGGCATCTGAATTTCTTTTTTGGAGAATTGTCTCTTCATATCCTATGCCCATTTTTTAATTGGGTTATTTGCTTTTTGGATGTTGAGCTGGGTGAGTTATTTATATAATTTGGATCTTAACGCCTTGTCAGATATGTGATTTATGAATATATTCTCCCATACTATAGGATGCCTTTTTATTCTACTAATGGTGTCCTTTGCTGTACATAAGGTTTATAGTTTGATGCAGTCCCATTTATTCATTTTTGCTTTTGTTTCCCTTGTCCAAGGAGATGTGTTCAGTAAAAAAGTTGCTTGTGTTTATATTCAAGAGATTTTGGCCTATGTTTACTTCTAAGAGTTTTATGGTTTCAGGACTTACATTCAGGTCTTTGATTCATTTTGAGTTTATTTTTGTGTATGGACTTAGACAATAATCCAGTTTCATTATCTTACATGTAGCTATCCAGTTTTGTCAACACCAGTTGTTGAAGAGGTTGTCATTTCCCCATTGTATATCCATGGCTCCTTTATCATATATTACTTGACCAATATGCTTGGGTTTATATCTGGGCTTTCTATTCTATTCCATTGGTATATGGTTTTGTTCTTGTGCCAGTACCAAATTGTCTTGATTACTGTGGCTTTGTAGTAGAGCTTGAAGTCAGAGAGCATAATCCCTTGATTTATTCTTCCTTCTCAGGATAGCTTTGGCTATTTGCAGTCTTCTGTGGTTCCATATGAATTTTAGAACTATTTGCTCTAGTTCATTGAAGAATGCTGTTTGTATTTTGGTAGGGATTACATTGAATGTGTAGATTGCTTTAGGCAGGATGGCCATTTCAACAATATTAATTCTTCCTATCCATGAGCACTGGATATATTCCATTAATTGGTATCTTCTTTAATTTCTCTCATGAGTGTCTTGTAGTTTTCAGAGTATAGGTCTTTCACTTCCTTCGTTAGGTTTATTCCTAGGTATTTTATTCTTTTTGATGCAATTGTGAATGGAATTGTTTTCCTGATTTCTCTTTCTGCTAGTTCATCATTAGTGTATAGGAATGCAACAGATTTCTGTGTATCAATTTTGTATCCTGCAACTTTGCTGAATTCAGATATTAAATCTAGTAGTTTCATAGTGGGTTCTTCAGGGCTTTTTAATGTACAATATCATGTATCTGCAAACAGTAATAGTTTAACTTCTTCCTTGCCAATCTGGATGTATTTAATTTCTTTGTCTTGTCTGATTGCCTGGCTAGGACTTCCAGAACTATGTTGAATAAAAGTGGGGAAAGTGAGCATCCTTGTCTTTTTCCTGATCTTAAAAGAAAGGCTTTCAGCTTTTTGCTGTTAAGTATGATGTTGGCTGTGGGTTTGTCATATATTGCCTTTATTATGTTGAGATACTTGCCCTATATACCCATCTTGTTGAGAGTTTTAATCATGAATGGATGTTGAATTTTGTTGAATGCTTTTTCAGCATCTATGGAGATGATCATGTGGTTTTTGTCCTTCTTTTTGTTGATGTGGTGGATGATGTTGATGGATTTTCAAATGTTTTACCATCCTTGCATCCCTCGAATAAATCCTACTTGATCATGATGGATGATCTTTTTGATGTATTTTTGAATTTGGTTTGCTAATATTTTGTTGAATATTTTTGCATCTATGTTTATCAGGGATATTGGTCTGTAATTTTCTTTTTCTGTTGTGTCTTTGCCTGGTTTTGGTATTAGAATGATGCTGGCCTCATAGAATGAGTTTGGTAGTATTCCCTCCTTTTCTACTTCTTGGAAAACTTTAAGGAAGATGGGTATTAGGTCTTCACTAAATGTTTTATAAAATTCAGCAGTGAAGCCGTCTGGTCCAGGTGTTTTATTCTTAGGTAGTTTTTTTGATTTCTGATTCAATTTTATTGCTGGTAATTGGTCTCTTCAGATTTTCTGTTTCTTCTTGTGTCAGCCTTGGAAGGTTGCATTTTTCTAAAAAGTTGTCCATTTCTTCTAGGTTATCCGGTTTGTTAGCATATCATTTTCATAATATTCTGTAGTAATTCTTTGTGTTTCTGTGGTGTCTGCAGTGATTTTTCCTTTCTCATTTTTGATTCTGTTTATGTGTGTAGACTCTCTTCTTTTCTTGATAAGTCTGGCTAGGGGTTTATCTATTTTATTTATTTCCTCAAAGAACCAGGTCCTACTTTCATTGATTCTTTCTATTGTTTTATTCTTCTTGATTTTATTTATTTCTTCTCTAATCTTTAGTATGTACCTCCTTCTACTGACTTTGGTCCTCATTTGTTCTTCTTTTTCTAGTTTCATTAATTGTGAGTTTAGAATGTTCATATGGGATTGTTCTTCTTTCCTGAGGTATGCCTGTATTGCAATATACTTCCCTCTTAGCACAGCCTTTGCTGCAGATTTTTGCAGTGTTGAATTATTGTTGTCATTTGTCTCCATATTTTTCTTGATCTCTGTTTTTATTTGGTCATTGATCCATTGATTATTTAGGAGCATGTTGCTAAGTCTCTATGTGTCTGTGGACTTTTCTGTTTTCTTTGCGTAATTTTTTTCTAGCTTCATACCACTGTGGTCTGAGAAACTGGTTGGTACAATTTCAGTCCTTCTGAATTTACTGAGGCTCTTTTTGTGGCCTATTTATGATCTTTTCTTGAAGATGTTCCATGTACACTTGTGAAGAATGTGTATTCTGTTGCTTTTGGATGGAGTGTTCTGCAGATATCCATCAGGTCTATCTGTTCTAATGTGCTGTTCCGTGCCTCTGTCTCTTTATTTCTGTCTGGTTGATCTGTCCTTTAGAGTGAGTGGTGTGTTAAAGTCTCCTAAAATGAATGCATTGCATTCTATTTCCCCCTGTAATTCTGTTAGTATTTGTTCCACACATGTAGGTGCTCCTGTGTTGGGCACATCGATATTTATAATGGTTATATCCTCTTGTTGGACTGACCCATTTATGTAATGTCCTTTTTCTCTTGTTACTTTCTTTGTTTTGAAGTCTATTTTGTCTGATATAAGTACTGCAACTCCTGCTTTTTTCTCCCTATTAGTGACAAGAAATGTCTTTTTCCATCACTTCACTTTTAGTTTGTGTATACATCTTTGGGTTTGAAGTGAATCTCTTGTAGACAGCATAAAGATGGGTCTTGTTTTTTTATTAATTCATTGACTCTATGTCTTTTGATTGCTGCATTCAGTCCATTTACATTTAGGGTGATTACCAATGGGTATGTACTTATTGCCATTTCAGGCTCTATGTACATGGTTACCAAAGGTTCAAGGGTAGTTTCTATATTATCTAACAGTCTAATTTAACTCACTTAGTATGCTAATATAAACACAATCTAAAGGTTCGTTTTTTTTCCCTCCTTTTTTCCCCTCCTCCATTCTTTATATATTAGATATCATATCTAATATGATACAGATATGATACCTTTGCCTATCCCTTGATTGCCTTTCAGGGTAATTGATTTGATTTTGCATCTGCTTAGTAATTAGTTGTTCTACTTTCTTTACTAGGGTTTTATTTCTTCTGGTGACAGCTATTTAGCCTTAGGATCACTTCCATCTATAGCCATCCCTCCAAAATATACTGTAGAGGTGTTTTGTGGGAGGTAAATTCTCTCAGCTTTTGCTTATCTGGAAATTGTTTAATCCATCCTTCAAATTTAAATTATAATCTTGCTGGGTAGAGTATTCTTGTTTCGAGGCCCTTCTGCTTCATAGCAGTAAATTTATCATGCCACTCTCTTCTGGCCTATAAGGTTTCTGTTGAAAAGTCTGATGATAGCCTGATGGGTTTTCCTTTGTAGGTGATCTTTTCCTCTTTCTAGCTGCTTTTAAAAGTCTGTCCTTATCCTTGATCTTTGCCATTTGAATTATTATGTCTTGGTGTTGTCTTCCTTGGGTCCCTTGTGTTGGGAGATCTGTGCACCTCCATGGCCTGACAGACTATCTCCTTCCCAGATTGGGGAAGTTTTCAGCAATTACCTCCTCAAATACACTTTATAGCCCTTATTCTCTCTCTTCTTCATCTGGTACCCGTATAGTGCGAATATTGTTCTGTTTGTATTGATCACACAGTTCTCTCAATATTCTTTCATTACTAGAGATCCTTTTTTCTTTCTGTGCCTCAGCTTCTTTGTATTCCTCTTCTCTAATTTCTGTTGGATTTACCCTCTCTTCTACTACATCTAATCTACTTTTAAATCCCTCCATTGTATGTTTCATTTCTGATATGGAATTTCTTAATGATTGAATCTCCATCCTAAATTCATTCCTGAGTTCTTGAGTATTTTTCTGTACCTGCATTAACATGTTTAAGATTTTTATTTTGAACTCTCTTTCAGGAAGATTGATGAGTTCACTTTCACTTATCCTGTTTCTGGTGTTTGTGGGATTTTGGTATGAACCAGGTTCCTTTGATGTTTCATATTTGTATGTGGAGCCCTCTAGGGCCCATAAGCTCTAGTCTCTGGAGCTGCTCAGCCCCTGGAGTGATGTCAGGGGTTGCAAGGGAGTGGTGCTGGTTCTCTGTTCTGTGATGTCTGTTCTTTTCTCCAGGTTTGTGCAGTCTGGCACAGCCTTCTTTCCTAATGCTCTTTCAAAGTTGGTTGTATTAATTATATTTTCATAATATATGTGCTTTTTTGAGGAGGCCTTTGTCTCACTTCTCATTCTGCCACCTTTAATCCCCTCACTGGATTTTTAACAGAGAATTCTTCCTTTTCAAGCTTTCATGCAATTTTGTCCACCCTTTTAGATCAAATTTACTTTTATTTCCCTTAAAGTAGTCATTATTATTTTTTGATATCAATATTTATT